TGAAAGATTATTATACATGTCCAAGCACTCAAGCAAACATGCAACTTATTTTACTCAAATTATTTTGTGTGTTTCTGAATGATATGGGATATTCAATGAAACAACATGAAAGATGGAACTTAATTGGAAGTTTATTGGATCTGAAAAAAATTGGCCATTGCAAACCACAATGAAGCCAGGTTGAAAAATCTGAGATGCCAGACATAAAGGAAAGATATTCAAAGCAAGTTATTCAATTTTCATAAATGCTTACAAAAACAAATTTTTTTTTATTTGGAATAACATGCACTTTTAGTCCCAATATTCAAGATTTGTATTTGTCACATACACAGTTACATACAGGATACAACTTGCAGTGAAATGTAAACTTGGTCAGCCACTTAAATATAAATATATAGTAGGTGGTAAAATAAGATGAATGTAAAAAATAATTATGAAAAAATACGTAATAAACAAAATATTAGTGAGGCAACGAGTTGTAAAATGTACAGAGAACATTTCCTTTAGTCAACATGCAACCTAATTTACTCGAATTTGTTGTGTTTCTGAATGAAATGGGATATTCAGTGAAAAAATACAGGGACTTTTTTACATTTGCATACATTTTTATATTTACTTTTTACATTAACTGGGCATTTTATTGGATCAGAAAAAAATGGAAAAATTGGAAAAATGGCAGACCAGAATAAATCCAGATTGAAAGATTTTTGAGCAAGTTATTATATAAGTGATTACAAAAACGTTTTTTTTTTAAAATTATTTGGAACAACATGCACTTATATGTACAATAAAACCATGAATGTATATTTAGAAATTAAATAGGGTCATGTTGACTTTAACATAGTACACATTCCTGGATCTACATGCTTGTTGGACTTGGAACAACAGTCTTATTGACCAATCAGATTTTAAGGTGAGTCTTAGACCCTGAACAACATTTTATCAACCAATCATGTGCTTCTGATTCTATGTCTGTCTATATTAAGTGAAAACATTGCGAATGTTTGATAGAAATGCATTTCGATTACCAGCAAAGAATGTTGATGTACACTGTTAGACATTTCTGTCATTTCTACAGTTATTTACTGTATATCACCCAGTATAATACTGCAAATTCGCTTTGCAGTAAGTAACTGTAATACCCTTTGCATCATGGTAATTTTCTGTGACGTCAAACCCCACATACAGTGACTTACTGTATTTTTTAAAATTGCTGTATTCTACTTTATTTGCCATAACGGCCTCTTTGGCGCCATTCTATTGAGGCTGCTTTATTTTCCTCATTTCTCACATTTGGATTGACAAGATTTGACTTACACCGTGTCTACAACGCCGCAACAGCTTGGGACTGGATGTTACACTGGATGTTACATCGCTTGTAATGATTGGAAAATCTGTTTGTCCTTCGTGTCAGAAACAGCACAAGCACTTCGAGTACATCTGTGCTTCAGAAATATACCAGGGCATCACTTTACTGTCCGCATCTACTGTATGCCAGTAGTACCTATGTAGTGTAAAAATAAAATGAATTCTATATAAAAATTATAAAATCTAATTAAATATATTAAAATGAATTAATTACAGTAGTATACTGATGAATTAGATTTTTTACAGTAATTTACTGTAAAAAGTAGTTTGCAACTGTAAACCAAATACAGTTTGCTACTGTAAATCTTAATTACAGTAACTTACTGGCAACAGTGTTGCCAGTAAGTTACTGTAAAAACCCTTTGAAATGTCTAACAGTGTATGAGCATGCCAAATAGTGGTCAAACACCAAGCCCAATGGCAAACAGCTCCTTAACACCTCCTAAACAAATATGATCCACGTTTACTCTTATTCTCTAAGAAAATAAGATTCTATTCTATTCTTCTCCATTCTATTTTATTTACACGATTGCTCAAAAGCTTGCTTTGGAGAATCAGACCAAAACATTTCTTAACTCATTTGTTCGGACCGGGTCTCCTTCAAGTCTTTTAGCTCCTCAATCTGATTAGAGTGGACCAGCACAGAGTAAAAGTCTTTTTAAAGGCTGATCTCCAATCAGCTCCATTGGCGAGCTGATTGCTATATCTTGTCTCCCAGCCGCTGGTACTGCAACTTCATTATCTCTGGGCATTACGGGAGTGTTTGTGGGAGAACGGGGATCTCAAAGTGCCTCTTAGCTCTATGAATAGCTCTGATCAGGAACATGATGCTACAGTAAACTGAAAGGACGTGATGTATGTGAGTGGATGTCATGTACTCAACGTCTTCTGACACTCCATATAATCTTAACAATATTCCTTCTCAGTGACCTTGATTTTGCTTAGTAGGGTTCTTGGATCAAAATCCTTTTCTTTTACTCCTCACCCAAAATTGAAAGCATTATTTACTCCCCCTCATGTGGTTTCAAACCTTCACAGTATGCTGTTATTTATCTGTCGACACAAGAGGAGAATTTGTGAAGATTTTTAGTGCAGTCAATGCTGTTGAATATCCAAGACATCAAATGTGACTGGTTTGTTTGTCCTCTTGATTAAAATCTGACATGACGTGTCTAAAAAGAAATCTTAAACGTATTTTATTTCTGCTAACATCATTTCTCTTGTTAGTTTAGTTTATCTGGATGTACCAAAATATCTAAAACTAAAACTGAATAAAAATGATAAAAACTATTTAAAAAACTAAAATGGAAAATATAAAAATATAAACTAATTTAATATTAATAAGCGCTATAATAATAACTCATTATAGTAAAATAACACTGGTGTAAAGATTTTTTAAAAATATATATCTTTGTGTTCACTTGAAAAAAAAACAGCACAGAGGTTTGGAACAACGTGATGATGAGTAAATAATAAAAACATTTTTGTCACTTGAAATAAAATGTAAAAATCTAATAAAAAATCTTATTTGATTTCAGCTAGTTGCTGAAACATTTTTCATTCAGTTCTGAAACTTAAACTGAAAAAGGGCTAAACACTATTTAGACATATTTAAAAAATGAATAAAATATCAAAAACATGCAATAAAATGAATGAACTAAAATGAAAATGGAAAATATATAAATAAAAACATTCAAAATATTAATAAAAACTATAATAGTATATTTTGTTAAGTAACACAGGTGTGAAGATTTAAAAAAAAAATTGTGTTCACTTGAAAAAACAACAGCACGCAAGTTTAAAACAACATCATGAGTAAATAATAATAATAAAAAACATTTTTGCAAATTGAAATAAAATTTAAAAAACATTAAAAAAATGATTCAGTTTAACTTTTTTTTTTTTATTGTGCTGGCACCAACGTCACTGTCCAGGAACACATTCTACAAAATCATGGTCACTCAAAGGTTTATACGAGGGGAAAAAAAGCTGCCCTGAAATATAATAACTCATCTGCAACACATCAAAGAATGGATGAACTCTTTCAGATTACCACAAACAGAGCATTTCATTTACACGTGACAATGTGTTGTTGACATTGTCTAGACACACACAGCACACATGCAGTCCTCTCACACAAGACTGGGAGATAAAACGGCCCTGTGTAATCGATTAACAGTGATGCAATTAATAAATCAGTCTAATGAGCCTAAGTGGCATCCTTGTGATTCAGCATATCAGCGGCTAACATTAACGGCAACAACAGAAATGGTTTGTTTGAATGTATGCCACTGCAAAAGACTTAAGAATCCTGTTCGTCCAGTTAAACGAGCATAAGTGTCGTATTTCATAAGAACAGACTGTTACAATGACCTGAATTGCTCTTGGAACAAATCCCCTGGTATTATCACTAAACTATGGGTTTCATAGCACGTAAGTACTAGGCTAGTGGTGCTTGAAACCTCCTTATCATCAATCAGCCAATCAACAATACAGTGGCTTCTTTGCCTGTAGCACAAATTGAGGAAATCCAGCCGCCTTGCCTCCATTTTCAGGCCTTGTAAGATGTGCTCGCTTGCGTGCCGTGAGTGAGAAGTCTTATGCGTCTGCCTTTGCAACCATGTGTGAGAACAGCACTTTGGTGAGATGGAGCAGATGCACATGCAATGAGGTCATGCTGTCTTAACAGTTGTTACTGTCTCAGAATGTTTCATTCAAAGCTTACGTAGGTTACAGGTTAGAATATATGTGACAGTCTCTCCAGTAACTTTCCCAGTTTACCCTGTGGTCTGTTTTATAAAGTCATTTACTGTTGATTAAACAAGCACTTTAGGCACTAACGGCGCTTTTAACCTCGCTGACCCATTTCACACAAGGGCTTTTTACACTGCGCTTCACCCTGGGTTATTGTCTTGTTAAAACTGGGGGTAAAGCCATTTTTAAGCTGGAGTAAAACAACATTTCACACTTGTTATTTTAAATTGTGACACTAAAGATATTTGTAACAATGCAGTTTAAAAATGTTATTTAGTTGTTTCGGAACACACTTCACTTCAACTTCACATCATTATCCATATGGCAAAAAATAAATAAATAAAATGAAATAAAATAAAAATAATAATTTTTTGAAATAGAAAAAAAATATATGGATCTAACTGTGTGCGTGTGTGTATATATAATTACATCTGAGAGAAAAAATTAAAAATGTTGGATTAATTACTTACCCATAAACCAGTTTGAAACATGAAGCTAGATAATTCAGGCTTACTTTAACACAGGGTTAGATATAGCCTGCACAATTTCAAATGTGAAAAGCCCAAACTGTGAATCAAAAACTCAGTTCTATAAGTTAGGGGAATATTTAGTTTCAGCTACAGATTAAATGGGAAAAAAAGATCCGAAAACAAACAGCCGTTGAGATTCATCAACGAATCTGAGGAGAATTCATATTAAGGAGGAAAACAAGGTGAAAACACATTAAAGGGGTCATATGATGCGATTTCATTTTTTCCTTTCTCTTTAGAGTGTTACAAGCTCTTGGTGCATAAAGAAGATCTGTAAAGTTGCAAAGACTAAAGTCTCAAATCCAAAGAGATATTCTGCATCATATGACCCCTTTAAATAGAGTGGAATGGTGCGCAGCAGTTGCCAGGGGATATCGAAGGGGAGGGGTTATGATTGGCTGAAGTGGGTCTGTTGCCTTGGCAACGGCATAGGGGTTTGGTAGCGTTGCTGTGCGGCGTGATCTGTGCGCAGCGCGGATGGAGGAAACAGTTTGAGCAGCAGAACGCAGCGACTACTGACGCGCTTCAGCGGAACACGGCTCGGCGTGCTTCAATGTGAGTAACCGAATCCAGTTCGCCGCTTTCTGTGGTGTCGATGGACTTTATATTTTACGCAGAAAGTTAACATTCTACAGGCAAGTTGACATGAAACGCATGGGCGGATATCAGACTGAGCTTCGGTTCCTGTATTGTTTCTCAAGTGCTCTTGTTTGTTGTCGTTCACATGTCGAATTTCACGGCATTCTAAATCGGAAACATTTAAACGCGAGCGTTCCATCGCTTCTGCCATGTGCTCGAATCCAGCAAACAACTTCTTTTGTGATCGAGGACACTTGCTCAAGTGTTCCTCCAGCGCACTTCTGAGTGGAATACCGATATCTGAAATGATTTTGAGCGTCACTCTTTGTCTGTTAACATTGAAAGCGAGTTCGCGCCGAACTCTGAGAGAACAAATCGATGTTACAACGTTCCGTTCGTTTGTGATACATTTCTATTGTCTGTTCACATCTGTATATGTGGGTAGTTGACTAATAACATGGAAATGAACTTTTAAAACATAATTAATCAGTGTATGTCATAAAAGATCGTAAGTGATAATACAAATATATTGTTTTAAAATGTACGAAAATATTTATTTGAATATATAATGGAAACAGTATATGTTTTAGATGCTGTGTAACCAGTCACCATTTCGTTTATTTTTATTTTAACTAGTTAAATCACCATGTTATTATTACATTTAACTTAAATAGTGCTGTGGTGAGATATCTTTTCTTTTCTTTTTTTTGTAAACACCATGTCTCTCAATTATTAGAGGTCATTAAATGCACAATACATGAAGTTTGTTTAAAAATACTTTTGGATGTAGCATGTGACATTGATTATAGTATCAACTACCCATATTTCTGACTGAACTATTAGTTCTTGATATTTGTCACCATATCTTGCTTTAGTAAAGTTTTTTTATTTAGGGACAAAAATTGACAAAATTGTTTCGTTAGTGATGGATGGTTTAAGATTGTTATTTGGTTGATATTTGGCCATTTTGAATCAGCAATTGGTCAATAATTGTGTCTTATCGATTAACAGTGGTTCACCAAGTGTCAATACCAAAATCTTATGTATTGTCAATGATTTGCATGTTTTCTGTTCTCAAATATTGTTTTGTGAATTAGTTGAGTTAATGTTTTATTCATGAGTTTTGTGTGCATCAAGTTATATGTAGGTGTGTGTATGTGCCACCTTGCTTTCTAGACGTTTCTGTTGGCATTGGTTATAAAAAAGCATATTGTTTATCTCTAGTGTTTTATTCTAAATGAATGTGTAGAACGTGTTACAAACAACGTACTAAGAGTCACTGTCATGGGAAATCTGAGTCATAACACCTACACCGCCAGAAATCTGTTGACATGCATGCTTGCCATACCACCTGTGTCAGGGACATTTCTGACAGGAAACATTTGAGTTAACTTTACTCGGTGAATGACTTAGTTCCTCTCAGTTCTTGCTGAAAACATAGAGCTATTGCAGCGTTTTGAAAAGGGGCCTGTCCGTTGCCTGCTGCGGGGTCCATATGAGCTCCATTCACTGGAAGCTTGACCTCATTGACATGATGCAATCTGTTCACAGGATAATCACTTTCAGAGCAAGTCTGCTCATTGATTGAATATCCTTTGCTATTATTCCCCAAGGCTAAAGTCAAAACAACGTATTATGCCAACGCTCATGTCTCCAATTCATTTTGAATCTCTCAAATGCTGAAGCTTAGGTCTTGGCATGGCATCACTTCAAGAGAAAGCTAACCGCTGTGGGAATTCTCTTCTAATCTTATCAAGATGCTTTTATGCATTGTGTAGAGTTTAATGGTTGATACTAGTAATTGCAAAAGAAACCCTGAATGGAATGGAAGATTTGGCACGTATAAAATTCCTCTCAACAAAATTTGGTAGATAGCATTGGTTGTGTATGTTTATGTATGATTGGTCGCCACATTACTGCCATTGCACTGTGTACTATCATAATGCTCAGGCCCTAATAAAGAGGTGGTTGATGTCAAATAGTTTATTAATTGAGTTAAAGCCAGTCTGTTTAATTGTGCAGTCGAGAGGGTGGTGGGTTGGTCAGTTCTCCACGTTCAACAGATGTTGTTTGCTGACAGCAAGACCCAAGATAAACGGCACACAAAGACCACAACAAGATAAAAGAAACAACTCAACCTGTTGTTTAACTGCCAGTTGAACCGACTCCCAGCAGTTGGTGTTTTTGCACTTTGTTTTTGGTGCACTTATGATAGCTAAACATTTCAGCTAGAAGTTTATACAGTCTTGTACCATAGGAGAACTGGTTTAAGTTCTAAAAAAAAAACTTTTCAGTTGTGAAGTTCAAGTCAAGAACTGTATGAAAGAGTGTTGCACAGAACTGTTTTAAGAGTGTTTTTGTGCGTATAGCCTTCAAGTCAAAATGAAATCAAAACGCTCACTTTTACTTTCTTAATGTATGTTTTTGGTCTTGTTGTAAAAGATTCATAAATGCACATTATGCATTTTGGTCTTCATGATCTTCTGTTAAAATATAATATTTGCTCTGCCTCTGAAACTTCTTTTATTTACCGTTGACGACATCAAGCCCACTAATTTGTCGACCCCTCCCTCCGATCACCTTTCATATTGAGATTGCATATCATGCAATCCGTTATTTATGCATAAATTTAAATGCATCATTTTAAAATGCACAACTCGAAAACATGTCACATTATGGAAGTAAATAGTTTGCAAACACTATTTCATGAAGACTTTGAAGGTGAGTGTGTGTGTGTGTGTGTGTGTTCATTACTTGTTTAGATTCAGGATGTTCTTCTATTAAGATTATTTTGATCTGCAGAAACTTAATTGGAAATAAGATGACCTAGATGTAGAAATCAATCCTTGGGATGATCTGTGAATTCTGGGGGTTTTAGTTCACGTCATGTCAAGTTTCTGCCCCATTGAGAGCCTCTTACTCAAGTGAATGGTGAATAAATACTCATTCACTGGTGTGTTTTAATAGACCACTCAAGTTAGTACTCCGTTCATTTGCCTATACATCACTGAAGCTAAACACTTTTGAAATGCATTTGAAGCATTCTGGAAGGCCTGTAGAGAACGGAAGTGTTCACTGATGAGGATGTGGACCGGCTGAATGGATAATTCCCCGGATGGGTGTTGCAGACATTGTGGGATGTCCTGTCTTAGACGTGGAACTAAACACACAAGGGAAACTCGGTTCTGTCATGTTGCACCACGGGCAAATTATGTCATGCATGCTGAGAACTAACTCTGAAAACAATGGAGAAAACGTCAGAAGATGACTGAAAACTAGAATACTTTGGTTGCATGTTTAGTCAGTGACACGGGAAAGCATGTGTGTGGCTCAACATCAGAAATTCTTGATGTGGGTTTATTGAGCTTAATTTAATTTTCTTAGTCTAAATTAGATGTCGTTCACCTTGAGACCTGCGCATGCACGTGTCCTGACTAGAGTTGGAAGTCTAATTAAGAACCAGTTCTTAAACTGAACTGGATCCATTTTTAAAACGTCATTTTTTTCTATTAATTACTTCCTCAAAAATAAACGTTAAAGGAATTAATTTATAAGATGGACCCAAAATTTTTTTTTATTTTTAGTGGTTGTTTATATTGCGTTTTTTAAAGTTGAACTTTATAAAATGTTTGTAGCTAATATATTTTTGAATGTTGAATCAGTATCTGCTATAAGTAGAAAATTATAAACGTTTTATTTATTTATTTATTTATTTTTTTGCATTCAAACATTAAACCATAGAGATTTTATTTTTGTCTGAAAACCACAGGGAAACTTTTTTTTTTTTTTTTGAAGTGCTTCTCTTTCGTTGACAACAGATTTAAAACTATTCTTATTACAAAATAAGGAAGCAGTTTTGTGCATTTTCAAATGCACGTTATGTTATAAGCGACGCAAACTCAGTCACTTGCAGAAATGGAGTTTGTGTGGAGCAAAATTTCCTGCAAAAATTAATATTAATAAAACATGCTGCCTGCCAATTGGTGAGTAACAGTTTCATATACTCCCCAACACTGATTTTTACTCACATTGGCGCTTAATTTTACGTGTTAATTTTACACCCTGCTGCCATGTAATAGCCTTTGAAGCTGATATGGCAATACATTTAAATACAACAACAACTTTCTCAAAAGTATTGAAAGAATTCTTAAAGAAATCGCTATCAGAACAATTAGATTCCATGTAATTCCCATCACCAGTCAGAACTGATCCGTCTGGTTTGTGGAATCAGTCAGCAGCCCGTGTTGACGTGCATGTCTGTTGATGCTATCTGGCCTTTGTTTGCAGGTGACTGTCTGTAACGACTGCAGCTGCACGTCACTCATCGGCTAGACGTTGCCTCCCTCCTCATCCTCCTCCTCCCTATTATTTATATTCTTTCTATATATAGGGATGCACCCTAAGATCTCCAAAGGCCGCAGTTGTCTTGGTTACATGCGCTCACTAATCCAATTTAGGTGGATGCTCCAAATTTGGGTTGCAAAATTAGCACTTTCCACTTGTGCAGAAGTACTTTCTCCAACCTTCCTGGCAGTTTCTTACTTCATCGTGATTACGTTGTGATTTTGGTCAGAATGCAGTGGAACTTTGGGCAGTTTAATTTCTTTCTCTCGTTTTTCACTTCCCAAGAAAGACAGGAAGCTTTTTAACAGTAGTGCAACAAAATGAGCCGTGAATGATGTGTCTCAATGCTTTATGCATTTTGTACGGCTCTCAATCACTGAAAAATTCTAATTGAATTTCATAACATGCAGATTAATTATTTAAATAAATTGCATATCAATATTAGCTAACAAAAGCAGCCAAATGAAGATCATTTTGTGATCAAATTGCGGCAAATGACTAAATTACTGAATTGACTAAATTACTGAAATTGCTTCACACCAAAGCATTGAGTTTTGTTTGCAATATCTGTATTGCTTCTCTACATGCACATAGCTTGGAAATCATAATTACAATGAGATTTTAGTCTGAAT